GGGCAGGCATATGTTATCAGGAAAGCTGCGGGTCACAGTAGCAGCCACAAACTTGCCAGACCTAGCCTCTACCACAGTCTCCTCAGCTACGTGGACCGGCGAGACGGCTACCGGTGAAGGGGACTGCGACAGCTTGGGAGTCTCGACTGCTTCAGGGGTTTCATCAGCAACATCATGGCAAGCAGGCACATGATAACCAGTTGTGCCACCTCTGGTGAACGATATTCTGACGGCAGCCATCCAACTCCACGTAGTTCTTGGCAGAGACCTTCAAGGACCATGCAGACAGGGAAGCGGTGTAACAGGTCCATTCCCATCAAAATGTCACCAGGGAAGCGAAGGCCCTCTACAACACAGGTCCAGTGGGTGACACTCAGCTTCGGATGGATGGTGAAGGCAAGATCCACTTCTGCCACGGCAGGGGTCGGCTGGCCTGAAACGCCCTGTAACGCTCTTGAGCTGGCATACAAGCGGACTCCTGGCAGGCATGTAACGGCCTCCCTCTTCACCATCGTTACCTCTGACCCTGTGTCCCAAGGACTATCATGGGCCGTCCAGTGAACCTAGTTCTTGGCTGGCTGTTCAGTTCCCGTTGTGCTAGCACGGCCGCCTGCAAGCTGGGAGACTCCACCCGAGCGGCCTTGGCCAAAGGGACACATAGCTCTCAGGTGCCCCATCTCACCACAGTTGTAGCACCGACCTCTTCTTGATAGCAATCGCTGGTGTGATGGCCCTCCATCCGATGGTAGTCACACCAAGGTCGCTGCTGACTTCCCATCCTGCGAGGAGACCATCTGCGGGGTGATGTTGCGGCAGGGGTTCGAGCTGGCTGTGAACCTGTGTCCCACCAACCAGCGCCGCTTGAGGTAGAAGGTCCCTGTAAAACTCCAGGCCAGTTATGGTTGCATCACGATATTGCCCTGGGTGGTACAAGCCCAGGACCATCCTGTCACATGTGTTAGGCTGAGGTGGCCACAAACTTGATGACTGCTCCATCCTCAGGAGCCCATGAACATCCAGAAGGGTGTCTCGCCCCAACCACAGAATCCCAGGGCCTGGCACTTCTCGGCCATCTTACGAGTAGAGGGGAAGTCGTGCCAGAGTAGCTGTCCACAAAGCCAACCTGGTAGTCCTTTCTGGAAGGTGCCCTGCATCAGGCCCTCAGCATTCCTGATGTCTTGTGGATTGTCGCGCACACCTTGCTGCACTGCCAGTTCCACTGAACGAAAGAAGTCCAGCGGCCCCTGACCTACTGCCATCCTTGCCTGGCCAAGCATATTGTATAAATGCTGAGCCGTGGCCACACCACGGAACTGGTCCTGGAGTTGAGCCTTGAAACTCACCCAGTCCTGGATGCTGGTGAACACAGGGCTGTTCAGCACCGACCAGGCATATCCACTTACCATGCTACGTGCCATGTGGATGTAATCCTCGGAGGTGGCAGGCCAGACTGAAAGCTCGATGTTGGACATCTAGGACTCCAGCTCCTGATTTCACTGAATACCCAGGGAGGCAGGTGTCTCACCACAAAAGACGGGCACCTCATCACGTCCGCTGGCCAGTGTAGAGCGAGGACAGGCGTGACCACATGGTTGAGCTGGCACTGACTAGGAGTAGGGCGGCATACAATTCGCAGCTACTGGAGGTGCCAAGTGTAGATGGGCAGGGGGCTGCGAGAACGGTGTAGCTTGCTGCAGGTGCAGCCCTTTCTGTGTCGACTGAGGCAGCACTGAAGGTTGCGGATGGGCCGCAGGCCCTGGTACAGACCCCGACAACATGGGTGGTGGTGGCTGCAATTCGGCCGCAGACAAGGAAGCTGGCTCTCTAGAGGTAGCAGTTGTCTCTCCTGTCTCCTGCATCAGCATCTGGCTGACCACCCAACACAGGAGCCAAGTACGAGGCTACAGGTGCAGGACGCTGTGTACTTACAGTCACAGGTGGAGGCAGACGAGGCGGCTGCTCAGCGACCTTCTCGCTACGAGGCTGAAGGGTTGACAAGGGTGGTAGCGTAGCAGCAGCGGCTGTCACCATCCCCTCGGCAGCGGTAGACGGTGTGGGCTGCTGGCTCTTCAGGAGAGTCGCCAACGCCTGCATCTGTGACTGCAACTGCGGCTGCATCTGTGCCTGCATGCGGGTCAGCTGGTCCCCTATCTGCGCACCCAGCTGGTCCATAAGCCGGGCTTCCAACTCAGCCAGTTGCACTTACGGCAGCTCTAAGCCACTAGCCGCAACAGCCCACGCATCATGCAGCACACCTCCCGAAGCCATGGGTGGTTCGGCCTCAAGTCCTGCGTCTTCCGGGGTCGATGGGCAAGACCCTGGCTGCGAGGCCTTACTGCGGGGCATGGCAGGCAGCGACTGCGAGCTGTGGGGCCGTGAAGTGCACGACCACATACTATACTGGGCTGGCCCACAGCCCTCCACGTCGCACTGAGAAATATCACTGCACTTTGGGTGCGACACACTGGCGGTATATCAACACCCCTTCGGACAAAGCGTCTTTCACTCAACAAGGTTCACGAGCACAAAGGCACCACAGAAATAAAAAAAAAAAACAGTTGATAAAAACAAAGTTCACAAAAGCATACACAAGTAAAATAACAAAGTTGATAAAAACAAAGGGCACTGGTAAAACAAATCATAAAACATTAAATGACAAAAATAGTAAAATTACATTAAAAAAAAAAAAAAAAAAAAAGGGTCCTGGCCAGGAGACATAAAACACATGTAAAGTTGCAAAACAATAATAATACATAAAATGAATCCTGAGAAAATCAGAAAAAGCAGTAAAATGAAACGTGGGAAAATAAAAGCAAGATGCAGTAAAACCTGCCAAAAATACAATTACCCATAAAAGTTAAAGTGAACAGCTAGAAACAACCCCCCCCCCCCAAAAAAAAAAATGCAAGTATAAAACAAGAAAAAATGAAACCCCATGACATTTACGTAAAACAATTAATACTAAAACCCCATGACATTTAAAATAAAACAATTAATACTAAAACCCCATGAAATTTAAGTAAAAGAATTAATACAATAACAACAAGGCGCGGGCAGGGATGTAAACAAAAACCCTATCCCTCGCTAGCCACCACGAATCTGTAGTGGTAAAAGTGTGTGTGTGGGGGGGGGGGGGGGCACCGACACTCACCATACTACAGGAGCTGACGAGTGATCCTCGGACCATAGAGAAGATGTGGGCATGGGCATGGGGAAAAGCCGGCCATTTCTACCTCCTGCAGGAGTCGTGATACAAACTGTTCATGCAAACGGCTTTATTTAGAGCACTATCACTACTACAGCCTCTGTATCACAGATTCAGATACATGAAAATCACTGAAAAACAGGTAGCGCAGCAGTACATCACAAAATATCACGAAATGCACAAATATCAAAGTCAGGAGTCCTCCCCAGCCCACACTCACACCTTTCCACAGTCAAGGTCACCCGCCAACTGCCTTCTGTGGCGACTCCATGGCGCGTCACGGCAGGGGTAGCCAAGTATCGAAATTGTAAGAGGTTTGAGTGTGGGTTAAACGAGCTCCTATCGAACCCAAAACTTACTATGTATACTTCTGGAGGTGTGGCGTTTATAAAAAGGGCAAGGGCTTGCCAAAAGGGCATCAGAAAAAGGCAAAATGAGTTGCCCCAATTTTTTCGCATAAAAAATGAGCACCCCAAGTAGGCAACACGACCACGCGTTCGCATAAGCGAATTCATGAATCCGGGTGCGTTCGTGTAACTAAAAATACGCAACTCTACAATTGTATATTGTTTTATGAAGTGCAATGAACAAGAAATTAATGCAGGGGAATCCTATATTAATCAGAATCTGACCCTACGCACTGTTACTGTAATAAAATATCCATCCATTCAAGAGAATGTACAGTTCAGTTTTCTTATTTATATCCGTTTTCTTTATCTTTCATATTTAGAAAACGGAAGAAATACTGTTACGGAAACGCGGCACTATTTTTAAGTGTGTAGAAAGATTCCGCCAAACATCGTTCGCCCAGTGAGCGATGTTTGATAATCCTCGAATTAGAGGTTAATCACGCGCAGTCTCAGGAGGAAACGATGCGATGGTTGCCTTCTCTCGTGCACAGCTATGTCTTTTCCAGACAGTTAACATAGTATTTATTCAAACTGTGGAAAAATACAAATGTTGTATTATACAAATGATGTATGATAATACATCACCTCAATACAATCAAAATAATCTCAGTGGTTAGAATTATCATAATAAATTCCCTCACATACATCTTCAGTGTATTGGAACAAGTTTACCATACATCATCCCCAAAGCCATCCACTTTATTCCTCCAAGTGACAGATAGACAATTATTACAAGTATAGTTAGGACAAAGAACAACAATAACATCATCAACCCCCGAGGATGCCATCTTGTGAACCGAGTAACACGTGCCACGTGTAACCTTGGTCTGAAATCACTATGCCACTCACCACTTGCCATTTGCCACATGCGATATGTCACCTTGGTATGAAAGCGGCCTTAAAGATTTATTTGATGGCATACACTTGGACGCAATCCTAACGAAGAGAACATTGATATACAATATTCAAAATTTTGCGAAGCCTATAAGAAAGAAATATATAAATTTGTATCAAAATTCAAAACTAAAGAAATGGCCAATAATAGATATGTCATCGGCCAGAAGCAGTGACATTCTAATTAAGCTGTAATTAATGCATCAATTGGCAAAACATAACCCTTAGTTATGATGAAAAGACATTCTAAAGGAATAAAACCACAAAATAGATTTTGTTAGTATTGAGGCTGTAGAGTTTGGTTTTATTCCCTTAGAATTTTTTTTATCATAACTAATTAATGGTTACTTCTACCAATTAATGCAGTAATCATAGCATAATTAGAGTGTCATTGCCTATGGCAGATGGCAGTGAGCAAACTCTTCGAATAGATGAAAGACAATCGAGAAAAGCACACGCACATACGGATTATATTTACCCCCCCCCCACACACACACACATACAATATTACAGATTTGTTCGTGTGTGTATGTGTGTGTTCATGTACATACGGATATATCACATGCGAGTAACCGCTTTGAGAGAAGCTCTTTGTCAGACGAGTTCGGGGAACCACAAATGGCGGCGAATGAAGAAATTATCGAAGAAATTCTGACCTGCAGTAGTTCTGCGAATGAAGAGGAGATTGTGCACATAATCCAAAGTAGCGAAGATCAAGATGCACCTCAGGAAACAGGTCTTACACAGGAGGAAAGGGAGAGCCAAGAGCATAAGGGTATGGGAACCAGAATACTTGTTGAAAACAACCATAGGTACAGATGTGTAATGGATAGGAAATAGGTGTAAGACTATTTAGAGAGAAATCAAACGACTTCCTACACTTTGCAAGGAACACAGTTGCTGTAATTGGAACTCGGTAATGCACAGATATAAGATATTTCTTGAAATTACAACAGTGTAGTCTGTTGATTACCTTAATTATTTAAATTTTCATAGTTAATGTGTGAATAAATTGGGTAACAATTAGAACCTTGACCAAGACAGCGTCCACTGGGCCCTGGGATGGAAAGCCCCTCGATTACAGAAGCTCAGGTCTGTACAGAATTATCTCTTTATGGGCCGAGGATACGCATATGACAGTTTATTCAATTTCTTGTGGTTTGGTGTATGGTACACACATCCATATGAGCATATAGACGTCATTTCCGGGTAATAAGTACAAACCAGACCTAACCATGCTAGACTAACTTCACCAACTAAATCAAACTTAACCTAACCAAAGTAAGGATAATTGTTACTGAGAACAACGCCAGAGACTAAGGCCTGTACTTTTAAAACCTTTCTCCAGTGCTGGCGTTCGATTTCGCTGGGCGATCGGGAATTTTGTATTATTAAAAACACGCTAGTAAAGTAGCGAGAGCCCTCCCTTTCCCGTGTTTGAATACCATTTTCTTGCTTTCATATTATAAATTAGTAACATATTTGTGTATGATATGATATAAGAATCACATGATTTTAAAATATCTGAAAATCACAATGTGTTATGAAATTACGTACATACATAGTTTTTTCAAGACCATCAATATTCCAGTTGAGAGCTCAAGACATCAGCTGTATTCCTTCCCTAGTACTCTACCGTCCTATAATGTGTGTCTAATGATACCTTTGTAGGCCTACAGTTCAATATCTTATATCAGTTAGGTTTAGTAAAATAGTACATTTTTAACTCCTTTGTTAAAGTATAAAGTCATTTTGGAAAATTTACAGTGTATAACAATTAGAAATTGAGTAAAAAAAAGATATGGAATGGTTACCTTGACATTAATTAAGACACTTTTTGTCTATGGCATAAGGTGTGCAAATTGAAAATAAAGGAGTTACATAATAGACAAGAGAGACGACCGACCCATCTTTTTGGAAGTCCCTCACCATGTTGACATCGTGAATGTAAACAAAATTATGACCAGTCAACTCATTCTTGCGCTCTGATAAGTAGTTCATGTATTGCTGTGCCGTCAAAACGATATTTGGCTAATTATCAGTGTCTACTGTTCCACATATATGTGGCCTTTGTTAACGTTATTACACCTCATTTCCATGTTTCAAGATTTATTAGAGAGTGATTTAAGGAAATCGGTCTGAAGAAACTTCTTCGCAAGTGCATTTTCGTGTTTCTGACACCAGGTTTGACAGGACGTTTTTGGTAGTCGGTGACAGGAGACCGATGAGAATGTTTCATTACATTGATTCGGAGGGTGTTGGGGGGCTTGCCCCCCAACAACCCTCTCCTCAGGCAATGTCCAAAGGGCACTTCTGCTCACGACACCGTAAATTGTTAGGTTAAGTTGGGTTATGGGTCAGGATGTTTTGGGGGGTTTGGAAAGTGTGAAATCCAGTAGATTTTGCCAAAAGTTTTTCAAACTCTAGCACGTCGGTAAGTTTATTTACCGCCCTAGTTAACGTGGTGCTCATGTTCGTAGAGTTTTTTGTGCTAGTTTTGCACATTTCTGTTTGCTATTCCTCCCTTGCTAACGGGACTTAACACATCAAGATCATTGGCTGTGATTACTACAGAAATGATCATCAGATTTGTTCTCGTCACACGAGAACAAATGATATAGATATTGTCTGGGAAGTTCCGATTGTCATAATCGAAAAATGAACCGTTATTTTTTGTATAAAAGTATAAAGTTGATATAGTATAGTATAAAGTACTTTTAAAACCTTTCGCCAGTGCTGGCATTCATCTGGCGAAGTTACGCCAGGCAATCATCTGAGTGAGGGAGAACCTAGTTTAAAACCCAAGGCGGGCGATCACCAGGCCTGGCGAATGAAAGGGATTGCTAGGCGCTAACATCTTGTATTTCTGCTAAATACAGCTGATGTCTTGAGCTCTCGACTGATCTTGAAAAAACTATGTATATATGTGATATCATAATAAATTGTGATTTTCAGATATTTTAAAATTACAATGGGATTCCTATATCATATACACAAATATGTTACTAATGGTATTCAATCACGGGAAAGGTAGGGCTCGCGTGACTTTGCTTCGCCAGGCTTTTCCAATACGATCTTATGCCAGCCCTGGCGAACACTTGCCATATTTTTAATAGTATGAAATTCCCGATTGCCTGGTAAAATCAAATGCCAGCACTGGTGAAAGGTTTTAAAAGTATGGGCTATAAAGTTAACTTTGTTATAGTATAAAGTATAGTGTTGCATAAAGTATAAAGTTAACTTTGTTACAGTATAAAGTTAATTTTTAACTCCTTTGTTAAAATATAAAGTGAGACTATTACAGAGATAACATTTTTGTCTTTTCCCGTGGTAGATAATTTCTTGGGTTCTATAAGATGGCGGTTTCAATTTCCCATTATCTCTGTGTTGCTCTCGGTAATGTATACCTAAGTAAGAGTGGTATCATCTCATATCAAGATGCCCCCATCTTGTTTGTTTCACCATACATGTACAATGGCTTTTCTGTGATACCAGTAGTCACTTCCGTTTTGATAAGCTATTTGGTACAGGTTTAGTATATCATAACCAGACTTTCCTGCTTGCCCGTGCATGGAATCGATATCCAGTTTGACATCATATCTCGAGATCACGATAGCAATGATAATTTCTGGGTGAAAACAAATCAGTTTTGCAAAGGAAAATACCTACAATTGAAATGATTACATATATTCTTTGAGTTTGTGTGGTTCTTAAATATTTTTTTGCAAAATGTCATACTTTCCTATGGACGGTGAACTTAACTGATCCAGGTGATGACCCTGAATTGGTCTATTATATGGACCATAATAATCAAACAAAGAGAAAAAAAAAAAAAAAAAGAAAAAAAAAGAAAGTGATCAGGAAGAAAATCCAATTCAAAACAACTAAAAAACAAAGAAGCTGGATGGTAAATGCTGGAAGAACCCCAACCAACAAGTAAAAATCTTACAATGAACAGAACTAAAAATTAAAAATACAGAAGAAATAAGAACAAAAGGAAATAAGCCAAATTAAATAATAGAGGAAATAAGATTTAAGGGGGTCATCGCGCTTGAGACTGAAGTGCGTCAGTTATGATCAGATTTTCGTAATTTTTTAATATGTTATACATACATATAAAGTTATAAATGCCACCAAGTTTCAGATCATTTGGATAATAAATAATAAAGTTATTCTTGAAAAACAATTTTTTAAACCATCACAAACTCTTTAAAATCGCACTTTTCCGTTGAACAAACTTGTTGAAAAAATTACCACCTATAGTCTATAGCAATATCTAAAACTTGCAAAGACCTGAGTTTTAAATTTTGTTTTAGTTTAGTGGGAATTTATTTTTTTATCTAAATGTTCAGTCTTATGAACATCACAATATAATATATGGGCTACTATTACCCAAAATGAAATTTTTTTCTAAGAAAACCATCGCAAATATATTCAGCTTTTAAATTTTTTATTTATCTATTTATTTATTTTTTATTATTATTATTATTTTTTTAGAATTCTAATCTCTGTGGCAATCTTGCTGCATTCTATGGCATTCACATGGTATTCTGAAGTGTAGCTGGTGCATTGTCCTTTTGCAAAGTACTAATTGTAAAAACTGCACATGATTGTGGAAGTATGCATGTCACCACAGGCTTTGCAGTGCCTAACCTGACCTTGTGAGGTATTTAAATGTTTAAACAACTGCTGCAGCTGTGATTAAGAAGTATTTCTGATCATATTACGTTTATTAAATACTAAAATAACATTACAATTAGTATTGTCCCCTTACTGTGTTATATTGGCCTATGTCTGCAATATGGTGTTGTGGAGGTACAAGCTGGCAACCTTTCTCTCTGATTTTCTAGTGGAGTTTTGTGTCCCAGAGCCCCAGTCTTGACGATCAGCTGATGGCAAAACAGAGTTGCCAGCTAGCTAACAGAGAATGCCAAAATAACCCCCCCCCCCAAAAAAAAAAAAAAAAAAAAAAAATCAGAAAAAAAAAATTTGCTGAGTATATTTTCATGGACACGACAATGTAAACATCGGAGCGGGAGGCAGGGGGGTGGGGGGGGTCAGAGATTTAGTTATAACTCCTTTACTTTCACATATTTAACTAAAATATTACGTCTCAGGATTGCCAAACCCCACTAGATTCCAAGAGAATTTTTTCAAATGTTCGAGTATTTTTGAAAATTTTTGTCACGATGTCCCCCTTAAAAGACCAAACAAGACCATACAATTGAAGAAAAATCTATTCTAACAAAATTCCTAAGAATCACTTTTAGAGGAGCCTTACCCGAAAGTGTAGCAATTGACAATATACAATCCCCATCTTGAAATGTTTCACCTGTTTAAGGTATGGTCAATGAAAGAGGCAACAAATTTAGCCAATATGGACATAGCTTTAATGATGAATGTACAGAGCACAAATTAGCACAGGAAATAGATAAAGAGAATGAAACACCCAATTCTTTAGAGATTAAAAAACAGTTACAACTTGAACCTGTAATAATGAAATAAAAGAAACAAGTGCACCACAAACTAACAAAACAAAACAAGCAACTTAGATACACAACAAACCCATGAAAACACAACAGTACAACCAGCAATGTAAAACAGAAAGCAAACATACACACTGAAACTAACTCAACTGTAAAGCAACACATTATGCTAAAGAACCTCTCTTACTAACCTATATTTATCAGTCCACTTCATGCAACTCCCCTCTAGAAACTCTTGACATCCAAAATTCCTAAAGATGACCCAAGGCAAACCCACCCCCCACCCGCC